AAACATAACCGGCACACCGCCAAAACATGACCAGGACACCATCACAACAGAACCGGGACACCATCAAAACATGACCGGGACACCGTCACAATAGACCGGGACACCATCAAAACATGACCGGAACACCATCACAACATGACCGGGACACCATCACAACATGACCGGGACACCATCAAGACAGGACCGGGACACCATCACAACATGACCGGGACACAATCAAAACACGATCGGGACACCATCACAACATGACCGCGCCACCATCACATGATCGGGACACCATCAAAACATGACCGGGACACCGTCACAACACGACCGGGACACCATCAAAACATGACCGGGACACCATCACAACATGACCGGGACACCATCAAAACATGACCGGGACACCATCAAAACATGACCGGGACACCATCACAACATGACCGGGACACCATCAAAACATGACCGGGACACCATCAAAACATGGCCGGGACACCATCACAACATGACTGGGACACAATCAAAACATGATCGGGACACCATCACAACATGACCGCGCCACCATCACATGATCGGGACACCATCAAAACATGACCGGGACACCGTCACAACACGACCGGGACACCATCAAAACATGCCCGGGACACCATCACAACATGACCGGGACACCATCACAACATGACCGGGACACCTTCAAAACATGACCGGGTCACCATCAAAACATGACCTGGACACCATCAAAACAGGACCGGGACACCATCACAACATGACTGGGTCACAATCAAAACATGATCGGGACACCATCAAAACATGACCGGGACACCAGCATCACATGACCCGGACGCCATCAAAATATGACCGGGACACCATCCGCCCACCAGCTCTGACGGTGACCCGACGGCGCCCGTCCGCCTATTAGTTTTGCAATACCCCATAGCATGGCTATTGGGGAAATACCAACCGTGCATTCTCAAAAAGAGAGGCAAGTTCTTAAGCTTGATTCAGCTTCGAACTGTTGCCGGTTTCCTTTCGACCCTCCTTGTGCTGGCCACACAAACAAGAGTCTTTTCTCTGGACATGCCTTTGAGCAAGGCATCCTGCAACTTTGTGCAAACACCATTGGCTGCATCGGTGGGCCCAACAAGAAGTGGTTTGCAGCATCCTGGTCCACTAGTGACTAGTGGCTTTCAAGTTGCATATGTCTACATATATTCTATGTAGCCACTGGAAACCTCAAACCTGGGCTGCGAACAACTCATGGTGCCAAGCTTTGTACAAAGGCCACAAGCGACAAGATCTGTATGAAGACCTTTAGGCAGCAAAGGCCTTCTCGAAAAAAGAACTCAAATGTGTCGGATCATTCCGTCTCTTCGGATCTTGCGCTGGACTTTGCCAAGCGCTTCCTCAGTTTCCTTAGACAGGAGCGCAACTTCGGGATCCTTGGAGAGTCGAGACCAAGAAACCCCAGAATGACCAGTCCAGGTGGCGTCCAGGTGTCCACCCATAGCATTCTGTGGTGCACCCAAAGGGTTTTTACCCCAGATCCCGCCTTCACCACTTTTGATGCAAGTCTAATCTTTGTCTGAAAACCCCATAATTACTGATCTTCCACTGCCTTCCTCTCTGTCTATTTCAATCAGCGTTGCTTTCCGACTTGCCTAAGCCTCTTTTTACACCGCACTGAACGCTAGACCGACCTTGTGCCCAGAACACTTCGTGCCGAAGCGCTCTGGGTTTTCGGGGTCCAATGCCTCCAAGGCCTCCAGATCCTCCTGCGCCGCCTCCGGGCGCCGCAGCGCCACCGCCGCCCTGGCGCGGTACAGGTGCCCAACGACCGAGGGGCCTTGATCAAGGGCAGCAGTGCAGCACCTCAGCGACACTTAGAGAGGTGGGAGGAGGGCGGTTTTGGGAGGGACGGTATAGGACTTGTTCGCACATTCCAAATAAACCGGTTGGATCTGGTATTTCTCTTCAAGTGAAGGGAGGTCGATTTTTTCAGAGCGGAGATCGCACCTCGGTTTAAAGACAAACATCGAAACTGTGAGTCCAGCGACTCGATGACAGCATCGTACTCCTCCAAATTCAAGTGGCAGAAAGCGCAGTTCAAAAGGCAACCCTGCTCTGTCTGTTCTGCTTCGCCCGCTTGGCCCGCAGAAAGGCTGTCGCGTCCTTTTAGAAGATTCCGTGCTTGCTCAAAAAGGTCGATCGCCTCAACCCAAGCACCCTGACGGATCAGCAATAGACCTTGCCCAAAGGACAGCAGTCAGCTTGAAAACGCCGCAAAACGAAGAAACCTTGCCCGCTACACCCTCTACAATCTACAGAGATCACACCAGCATACACCAGCTCGCCTTTCGGAGAAGCAAATTGATTTGACTACAACACATGTGCAACTAACATGTCTACAATTCAGCAAAATGAAACGTCCGGTCCGCTCCCACCTTCTTCTTGAAGCTCCTGAGCCCCTTGAAGATCAGGAGTCTCATCCTGTTTCTGAAAATGCTCCACCGTGCGGTCAACGTCCCAAGCTTTAATCTCAGCATCAATACCAGAGGTGGCCACTAATGGCAGTTCCGGATGAGGCGCTATGCAATTCACCACACAACGATCTGCTGGCATCTTCCGTAGCAGTTCAGAGGACGTTGTTGACCAAATATAAAAGTGGCCGCAATCACCTCCCGAACCGACAGCTGAACCTTGGCACAGGAAGCGGACTTCTTTGGCACATGTTTGTTTGTTGATACGCCCTGTATAGCTTCGGATGGAGTTGAGCTGGACGCGTCCAGTGGGCAAGCTGCTATCAGAGACATCCAAATGAGAGTCCGAAAGTCGAACCTCTGGTCCTTCATCCACTGATCCCTGAAAGTCAAACAGCTCGATGTCGCCACCTCGATAATTGGCCAACAAGAGTCGCCCAGTCGCATCCCAGGAAACTCCTGAGATAGAAACCTCCGATTGTCCGGAAAAAAATCGAGAGAAGGACATGGCTTTCTTCTGCTTGCGGACCATCGGCAAGGTGGAATGCAACGAAGTCACCGGGGACAGGGGCATGTTCACATAAGAACTCTCATCTTGGAAAGAAAGAGTTCGAATATCATAGATGCGAAGAAAGGGATCGTTTCCTCCGACAGCCAAGCTGTGGCCATCGGGATTTGTTGCTAACCCTGCCAGGCCCACGTCCTGGGTGTTCACCACCAGGTGATGCTGCCTCTCCCTGAGGTCGAAGTGTCGGATGTAGCCGTCGCCAAAGGTCACCAGGAAGACTTTGCTGTTTCTTCCAGAAGGGAAATCAATCTTGAAAGCTAAAGCTTGAGAGATGTCCGATTGAAAGAGTCGTTCTTGCCGACCATCGAGAGATGTCAAACAGACATAGCCATCTGCACCACAAGAGACGATTTGCGTCTCTAAGAGGTGGGCATCAAAAATATTGTGTCTGTGAGCAGTTGCCAACGATGCAACTGGCTTCAAATCGACTCCAGGGCCGCCGCACAAGCGCCAGAGCTTTAGGGTCATGTCGTCACTGCCACTTACCAAGACTTCACCGTGAGAAGACCAATGAATTGTGTTCACACAACCTCGATGACCAGAAAGAACAGATTTCAACTCGTAGCGTTGAACCCACGCAGCATTCATCTGGAGGAGCCGTCGCTTCTTGACAGCTTGCACCTCGCGCAGACATAGGACGGAGAAAAGATTGTTCTTAGGACTCCTCTCTGTTCGGAGCCCCAATGAATCGGGGTGCAATCTGTTGCACATGGCAAACGTCGACGTCAATCTATTGTGGAAGAGTATCAAAAGCTGAAGAAAGCAGATTCAGAAAGGGCAATAGATTGCAGGACATGCATGCAGCTGCACGAAAACGCGCAAGCCTGGATAGGAACGTCGAAACACAAAAAAGTATACAGTAGAGAGGCCCAAGATCCTAGATTTCAACAATGTCCCCCAACCTACAGAAGCCACGCAAAGGAATAGCATCTAAATGTTGAAATGGCAAAGCAAACGCATGTGGCTTTGTGTGACACTTTGCCTTTGTGGCAGCAAGAACAAGTTTTATAGGTCAAGTATATAATTGGACGTTGATGTGGGAACCCTTCAAAGCCAACCATGCCCAGTGTGCACCCTCCGACTCTTCCACTTGCCTGAGAAATGGTGCCAAAACGCCAAGTAGCTCTTCCACCTTGAGATCCCCACCGATCCCAACCAGCATCCACCAAGGAACAAGCCACTCAGCCAGTTGAAATCACCAGAGCCGTCAGAGTAACTTACACGATACAACGATACCAAAACTTCTTGTTTCTAAACCATTCTCACTGCAAGTAAGGCAAAGGCGAGCAACTTGCAACATCCCCTGCACCGTAGCAGCGGTGTCAGCAGATCTTAGCGATTGATGAGGATAGATCTTTACCAAGTGCGACTTCAAGTTCCGATGTCAGCTGCATCTGATCGATGTGGTGTTCAATAAAGGATTTTGGCGATCAAAGAAAATAAAGCAAAATAGGATCTTGATCTGACATTCCTTCCAAGACTGCTTTTGAGGTCTTTACAATGTGTATATATATATATGACTTCAACGCTAGCTTGAGCCTTTCGGAGCAGTGCATAGGAAAGCAGGGGCGACACAAGATCTGCCTCTTTAGTGATTCTTCGCTACCTCTTGACTTTGTTTACTAGTAGCTTCTTGTTACTAGTAGTAAGAATGCTCCTGGTAGTATGGCCAGGAGCCCCTAGTAGCGTTCTTGCTCCTAGTAGCGATGCCAGGAGCCCCTGCTAGCGTCCATGCTCCTAGTAGACTTTGTTTGGATGGATTCCCTGGGAAATGGAAACGTCTTCTCTTTGCTTCAAACGGCCTTTCAGGCACACTGCAAGGCTGGAAGCTGTTTCCTAAAGCCCAGCTTCACCAAATGGCCGGTTGGATCTTCCGTTCAACTGAGGATCCTTTGGATCTCAAAGCACGGAGATGGCTTTGTGGCTCGAATCTGGAGCCTTAAAGTGTTTCAAAAAAAATCATTTTGAGACAAAAGAATTAAAAAATGGCACAATGACTTGTGACCAGTCCTTGGATCACTGGGGCTCTGGCACAACAGGCATCCAATTTAAGGCTCTGGAAGACAAACTTGCTGAAGCCAGACCTGGAAGCCCAATCTCCACATCCTACTACAAGTAACTCTGCGACTTGTTGGGTAAACGCTGAAGGGAGGAAGAGAATGGTTTAAGGGCCCCTTTAGCTTAACGGTTCCAAAAAAATCTGGGAACCAAATCGTTAAGGCGCAGGCTTCTTCAAGGAAGCTCCTAGTAGCGTCCTTGCTCCTAGTAGCGATGCCCTTTGCTCCTAGTAGTAAGGCCAGGAGCCCCTAGTAGCTTCTTGTTACTAGTAGCGATGCCAGGAGCCCCTAGTAGCTTCTTGCTCCTAGTAGAAGGGGAGTTCTGCGGAGATTTTGTTGACTGTTGTCTGTTATGGTTCGATGTTGCTGATCAACGTTTGTTCCTTGCTGTTGAAGTTTTATGTGCGGAGGGGTTCTGATGTTTTGGGGGTTCGAACTTTCACTGGAGCTTGTCATTGATGTGATTTAATGTTTGTATCCTTAATCTCTCCCCTCAGGCAGGGGGGGCTTCCTTGAAGAAGCCTAGCCCTAGCCTGTCTCCGATCGATATTAGCTTCCTTGCTGCTCCTTACCCTTTAGCTACTTCCAAGCTACTACTAGGTACGACCTAAAGCAAAACCCATTTACTCTCGGATTGATTCTCTTCCCTGAACCTCGGCACATCAAGTCGCAGCTAGTAGTAGGGGCTCCTGGCATGGCTATTAGGAGCAAAGGGCATCGCTACTACGGGCTCCTGGCCTTACTACGAGGAGCAAGCACGCTACTAGGGGCTCCTGGCCTTACTACTACGTAGGAGCAAGCACGCTAAAGAGAATTCTTTGGAAGGATCGTCAAGCGGATTGGGAATTGGGAATAAGCTAACCTACCAACAAGGCATTCAAATCCTGCTTTGTGGGTGGACGCGTTGCTGATCCGTTCAACCTCATGTTTCCGGGTCTGAGCATCCCGCATGAGTGGCTCTGCAGGTGGCTCTGCACCACGCCTCAATCAAGCACAGAAAAAAATGTGTAAGTCATCCAAACAAATCCATGTTTTGGCAATGCTGTTCTTTCCCAAACATGTCAACGGGGTCCGATGAAATCGCCAGCCCAGTTTTTGCGCGAGGTCAATGAACACGCGCCAAAAAGCGTTTGTACAGTACCTCTCATGTATTTCGCGTCGGACTATTCAACCTCCTTCAAACACTTCAGCTCCACAGGCGATGCGCTCCCGAGAGCTTGTGCAGCCACCAAGCTGCTTCTCTGACGGGAAGATCACCTGCAAGTTTCGCTGCTCACTAGCACATGCTGTGGCAAGGCTCGAGGCAAAAGGACAATTCCGAAAGATTTCTTGGTCATTGAAACATGTTAAGATCCATGGTGAACCATGCTCTACGCCGCCTGAGGCTGAGGGCTGATCCCCTGAGCACAGGAGTCCTCGTCTGCCTCAAGGGCTTTGAGGCGGATGCTGAAGTCCCTCGAGATGTACCTGATGTTCGACCGTGACTAAGACATGTATATATATATCATATTATATAAGTCATGTAATGAAACTGTGCTTAACATGACATGTACCTGTGAAGAGAAAGTCGGGAGAGTGCAAATCGGCAGGCCCCACTGCTCTGACCATCTGGCAGTGCTTCTCTCGCCTGTGCTTTGATTGAATTAAGCACAGATTCCTCCCGATGGGTTTGCTGTGGTCTTGGACCGGAAGGGCACTGGTACAGCCACAAATCCATGGGTGCCAAGACGCGCAGCCTGGGCAAACATTTGGGTCGGGACTTTAATTGCATGTTGTTGTTCTTTTTGATTGAGATATGTTTGTTTGGTGGTCTGTGTGGTTCTCAATGGTAGAATTTTGTCTAGAAGAGTCATCAAAAGCCAAGAATGCAATCTAAAACTCATCAAAGATATATTTCAATATTAAGGTCACAAAAATAGCGATGTTACCAGAAAAGTTATCAAAAGTAGCGATTGTAATGGGTCAAAATGAAAGATTTTTTGACTAGTAAAGTCATCAAGAGCAGAGAATTCAGTAGACAATTCATCAAACATGTTTCAGGAGAAAAGTTATCAAAAGTAGAGAGTTTAAGGGGAAAGGCATCAAAAGTAGAGATTCTGACTAGAAAAGTAGTAAAGTCATCAAAACCCATACAGAAGCCAAAAGCCACAAAAGCCACACAACCCAAAAGCCACACAGAAGCCAAAAGCCACAAAAGCAACAGAAGCCAGAAGCCACAAAAGCCACAGAAGCCAAAAGCCACCAAAGCCACCTAACCACAAAAAAACTAGAATTCCCACCTTTAAAAAAATCTCAAAATCACCCTCCATAGTGCGTGACTGACTGACTGACTGACTGACTGACTGACTGACTGACTAGTAGCTTCTTCTTACTAGTAGGATGGCCAGGAGCTACTAGTAGCTTCTTGTTACTAGTAGCAATGCCCTTTGTTACTAGTAGCTTCTTGGTACTGGTACAAAGGTCAGACACCTCCATTCCACCTTGAAGGCTTCTTGAAAACGGAGCTGTTAGCGCTTCCCTCGACAAGGCACGCTGCATGGATCTGTTGGAGTTCTTCTGCACCTCGTCCAATCGTCAAGGAATTGATTGATGGATTGTCGGGGAGTGCGATCTCAAAACATTTTGGTGCGGAAACTGCGAACAAAATCTGCCGAGCGCCATGGACTGCCTTTTTTTGTTTCAGGCTTCCGGGCGTTGTTTTTGGACATAGCCAGCGTTGAGGCGTCGGATCTGGCTCGCAAGAGGCGAGCTTGCCGTCCAGTGAATCCAGGCGATTGGTCAGATTGATTGTTCCTAGTAGCGATTCCCTTTGTTCCTAGTATCCCCTAGTAGCGTCCTTGCTCCTAGTAGTAAGGCCAGGAGCCCCTAGTAGTGTCCTTGCTCCTAGTAGTAAGGCCAGGAGCCCCTAGTAGCGTCCTTGTTCCTAGTAGTAAGGCCAGGAGCCCCTGGTAGCGTCCTTGCTCCTAGTAGCGATGCCGGGAGCCCCTAGTAGCGTCCCTGTGCCTAATAGTAGTAAGGCCAGGTGCCAGGAGGCCCTAGTAGCGTCCTTGCTCCTAGTAGCGATGCCGGGAGCCCCTAGT